GTGGCTCATACCTGTAATCCCAGCACTTTGGGAGTGGGCAGATTACTTGAGCCCAGGAGACCATACGGCAAAACCCTGTCTCTACAAAAAATAAACCAGGCATGGTGGCATACACTTGTGGTCCCAGCTACTAGGGAGTCTGCAGTGGGAGGACTGCTCAAGCCTGGGAGGTGAAGGTTGCAGTGAGCCACGATCATGCCATTACACTCCAGCCTGGGGGACAGAGTGAGACCCCCACCTCAACAACAACAAAAAAAAGCAGATGGCCTCACTGATGTGTCCAGCAGTTGATAATGGCTACTGGCTTGGCTTCAGTTCTCCCCATAGCCTCACATTCTCCAGAAGGTCAGATGGGGCTTCTTCACAGCATCGTAGTCTGAATGTTTCAAGAAACTAAGAACAGAATTTGCAATCCTCTAAGTCCTAGGCGGTAAAGCTCGCACAATTTCATTTCCCCATACACTATTCGTCAAGGCAAACCACAAGACCAGCCAAGATTCAAGGGGCTGAAGATAAGGAAGGCACTTCTTAATGGCAGGAAGAGACAGCAGTGCTAGTGTTATATTGCAAAAGAGTATAAACACAGGCTTGACTTACCATTATTGCAATAATCTTCCACAGTCACACCAAAGATGAGAAAGGAAGAAGACAAGGAAAGAGGTCCAGGAAGAGAAGCCAGACATGAAATTTCCCAGGGAGACTGAAATCACAACATGTCCAATGAAGAGGATAAAGTTCAGTGGGAATTGAGCCTAGAACTGATGAGCGAAGAGAGCATATATGTAAATATGTATATATGTAACATGTATATATGTGCATATATATGTGTGTATATGTACATATATATGTGTGTAAAGGAAGCTATTTAACAAAACAGACCAACAGGATAGATGTTAGCTTGTGCAAAAGAATTATATATTTAATGGCAGAGGAAGAGCTGGCTTTCAGTGAGAAAAGAAAAAATTTGAAATTTAGAAGAAATACAGAAAAGATAGCAGCCAAGAATTTAGTCATTATGCCACACAGAGTTGAGGGATCAAGATCAGGAAAACACAGCCAAAAAAAAAACAAAAAAAAAAAAAAAAAAAAAAAGGGCCTTTAGACTAGGCTGCCAGGCCATCACTTCAATAACCTAACCTATTTCCAGGATTACATATCAGGAGATGAAATACATACAGTACAATTATTTTTCCATTTGTGCTTTCTTATATTTTGAACTTTTCCTATTTCTGCACAATCACTCATTGATATGATTGGGCTGTGTCCTCACTCAAATCTCATCTCAAATTGTAATAATCCCCAGGTGTTGGAGGAGCAGCCTGGTGGGAGATGACTGGATCATGGGGGTGGATTCCTCCCTTGCTGTTCTTGTGACAGTGAGTGAGTGCCATGAGAGCTGATGGTTTCCAAGTGTGGCACTTCCCCCCTCACTCTTTCCTGCCACCTTGTGGAGAAGATGCCTGCTTCCTTTTTGCCTTCAGCCATGATTTTAAGTTTTCTGAGGCCTACCAGGCCATGGGGAACTGTGAATCAATTAAACCTTTTTCCTTCATAAATTACCCAGTCTCAGGTAGTTTTTTATAAGCAGTGTCAAAACAGACTAATACACCCATGATATCACTAATGACTATTTTAAAAGAAAGTACAGATATGTGTATATACATTTTTTTATCATAAAAATTTTGCAAAATTTCTATATTGTCATACCTATATCCCTGTAACTTAATCAGTGCTTAGTCTTAGTGCCTGGAAGTAGACTGGCTCTATCAGATAGTAGGTCAGACTTTTATTTCTAGAAAAGTACGGCCAATGCATACTCTCCCAAGCAGTACATGAATACCTAATTTTTCCCGCTCCTCCTCAACATTAAGCCTTAAAAATAAGCCTTGGTTAACTTTACAGACCAAAACCCTAGTATCACATTTTTTTAATAACTACATTTTCATCCTAGTGAAGTTAAATTTTTTCAGTGTTTATTGGCCATTTGCTTTTCTTGGAAAAAAAAAATCTCTGTTCATGCCTTTTTCCCGCTTTGCAGTTAAAACATTACTAACAAAGAAACATTTTGTTAGCTCTATGTCACAGAGGTCATGTAGTTGTTGAGAACAGAAACGTTTTTTAATCTACTTTAGGAATCAGGGGATTTATAGCTTGGAAAAGGGGGAACCTAACAGAACCCAAAACTACCAATAGAACAAGGCCTCCCAAGACCTGGAAAGTTGGCAAGCAGGTATTTCTGCCCTCTGGGGTCACTTGCCTCTTCTGTTTCTCCTTTCATATCTGTTCTTTTCTTCTTTCCATAGCCTACTTTGCTTGATAAGACTTTGTTTATATGTTCATGAGGTTTTATGTCCAGAAGGTTTGGGGTTGCCATGGAGCCAACTCTGAGCCTCAGTCTACAAAGTACTGAAGTGTGAATGTTCTTGGATGTGCTATAGCCAGCTACTGATTGGACAAGGGATGTGAACTACATTCTTTTGTAAAAAGTTTTATTGCATCGGCGATTGGCTGGAGTATTCCATAGGGGCCTACAATGTTGCGACCTTTGCGGAGTTGTATATAGCCTAAGATTTTTCGTTCTGTAAGTGTTAAGAATGCTATAGCAATTAGGGCAGGGATAATTAGTAAGAGTAGATTAATTATAAACATATTGTTAAGAAGAGGAGTTGAACCTCTGATTATAAAGTTTTAAGTTTTATGCAATTACCAGGCTCTGCCGTCTTAACAAGCCCTGTTCTTGGGTTATATATTAATTTGTAAGATTGAGATGTTAGTCATCTGGCTTGTGAGGGCACTTTGTGAAGTGGGCCCTATTTCTCTTGTCCTTTCGTACTGGGAGGAATATTTAATAGATAGAAACCGACCTGGATTTCTCCGGTCTGAACTCAGATCACGTAAGACTTTAATCGTTGAACAAACGAACCCTTAATAGCGGCTGCACCATTAGGATGTCTTGATCCAACATCGAGGTCGTAAACCCTATTGTCGATATGGACTCTAAAATAGAATTGCGCTGTTATCCCTAGGGTAACTTAGTCCGTTGATCAAGTTATTGGGTCAATGAGTGTAGTATACTTAGACTAGTTAGGTCTTGGTTTGTGTTTTCGGAGGCTGTGCTGTACTCCGAGGTCACCCCAACCAAAATTTATAGTACATAAATGGTATGTTAGTGCCTGTGGGTTTTTAAGATGTTATTTTGTACTATTAAATTGAAGCTCCATAGGGTCTTCTCGTCTTATTTACGTATATCCGCCTCTTCAAGGATAGGTCAATTTCACTGATTAAAAGTAAGAGACAGTTAAACCCTCGTGTTGCCATTCATACAAGTCCCTATTTAGAGAACAAGTGATTATGCTACCTTTGCACGGTCAGGGTACCGCGGCCATTAAACATGTGTCACCGGGCAGGCAGTGCCTCTAATACTAATAATGCTAGAGGTGATGTTTTTGGTAAACAGGCAGGGTAAAGTTTGCCGAGTTCCTTTTACTTTTTTTAATCTTTCCTGGGTGCATGCCTGTGTTGGGTCAACAGTTTAGTTAATGATATGTTAAGTTGTGGTATGTAATGATTGGACTGTTAACTAGCAGTAGTTGTTTCGGTCTGGAATAAGCTTATGCAGGGAGAATAATTTCATGTTACTTATACTAACATTATTACTTCTATTAAAAAATAGATTGGTCCAATGTGTTTTAGGAGTTCAGTGAAATTAATGGAATTAGGGGTGGGTAAGTATTGAGCTTGAACACTTTCTTAATTGATGGCTGCTTTTAGGCCAACTATGGTGATGAAATGTTTTACTCTCTATAGTAAGGTTTTTTCCTAGGGTCTAAAGAGCTGTCCCTCTACATTCACATCCCTTGTCCAATCAGTCACAACTGTAGAGTTCTGGAGAGTGTTCTTTGAAAAATTCATTTTCAAAGAATAAAAGATGAACAGCCACACAAATCAACTGAAAAATACTGTACACACCCCTATGGTGCTTATGTATGCTGCAATTATTTTTCTTAGTTCATTTCAATAGGAAGTTTTAAATTTTAATATGGTTCATGCCTATCATTTTACTTGCTCAAAATTGAGTATTTTCATGTTTAGTTATACCATTACTTTTTGAAAAATCTATCTTTTCCCACTTAAGATGACAATTTTTATATGTAAATATTTGTACATATTTGTGCCTTTATTCCAGATATTGGCATGACTCTTCTGTATCAAGCCATGCAAATATTCCTTTTATCATTCTTTGTAAATATTTTCTTAACCATTCTAAACCATTTTTGTCCAGATGAATTTCACAACTGGCCACTATAGCAAGATAATTGTTTCATTTGGAAGTGATAATAGTTCCCACACTGAATAAAGGTCTGACCATGTTGAACATACTGAAAGTCACCCTATATATTCATCTCAAACTTTCTTTCTTCCTAAGATATTGTATGAGTATCTCATATGTTAAATATATGCAAAAGAGTAACACTTAATTACATATTCAAAAGTAACTTTGAAAATACGTACTTTTCTTCCTATGCATCAAAGCCCACGTAAGCTGTGTGGTTCTACTATTGAGACAGTATATAACTTTAAACTCTAAAATCACAGTCAGTAGGGAAGATGTACTTGCTTTAATAGAAATGCAGTAAATGAAACTGAAAAATCAGTGGGCTCTGTTTCTCAATCCATACAGTTGGCACTGGATGAAATAGATAACAAGTATTTCAATTGTTATTTTCTCTCTTTTTGCTGAGCACATGCAACTGAATTCATGGGTTTGTTTGGTTTTGTTTTTGGTTTTTTTGAGATGGAGTCTTACTCTTGTCACCCAGGCTGGAGTGCAGTGGTACATCTCAGCTCACTGCAACCTCTGCTGCCCAGATTCAAGTGATTCTTCTGCCTCAACCTCCCAAGTAGCTGGGATTACAGGCACCTACCACCGTGTCTAATTTTTTTTGTATTTTTTAGTAGAGATGGGGTTTCACCATCTTGGCCAGGCCAGTTTTAAACTCCTGACCTCGTGATCCACCCATTTCAGGCTTCCAAAACACTGGGATTACAGGCTTGAGCCACCATGCCCAACAAAAATTCATGTAATTTAAATACTTGTTTGATAGGATTCCCCTGTACTAGTTATTTATTTTTCTAGTCTTACTGTACCTGCTACAACTTTCAGCATAATATTAAAAAACAGGGCCTCCAATGGACATCCTTATAATACCTGCAGTTGTGATAAAAATGTAATTATTTGTACATTTTTTCAAAGTGAATTGGAGGAAGGTAAGTAGTATCTTATTTAACCTGTAAAGCCAGGTTAAATTCAGGTCTTGATGCATCATAACTGTATGATCTTTGGAAAGTTATTTAATTGCTCTGGGCTCTAGATATTAGCCTTCACAGTTCTCTGCACCTGGGATGCCCTTCCCACCTGCCCTCTCCTAACTCACCCAGAGTCATCACTAAAGACTCAAGAATCCTCTCTGCCAAGAAGTCACCTTGGTCCCAACCATATTAAGAGCTCTTCCTCTGTGCTCTACCAGCTTTCAAAGGGCAGTGACCTTGGCTTGTTATTCTTTGTACTCACAACCTGTCATATAAAGGTACTCTTTAAATGTCATTTACTAATTCATTCATTAAATAAGAGAATGGTCTTGTATAAACTTTAAAGTCCCTTATTGTTCTCAAAGCCCAAATTATATCATAGAGATAATTTAGGTGTTAGAAATGGGTAGTAAAAAACTTCATGGTTTATTCTTCTTTAAATATTCAGATAACTTCCCCAATTTATCACATAAACTTCTATTAGAGATATTCTGTAACCATATGACATGAGAAAGAGAAAGAACATTAACCTGATCAAAAGGCAAACGATCTTGTCCAATCCCACTATTTCTCAGCTGTATGAAATTGCACAAATCACTTAACTCACCCTGATCCTCAATTTCTGCATCTTCCAAATAAGTATGATTTCTGCTCTGTCTTGTGAGCTTGCTGTGAAGAATCAAGAAAATACAGTGAAAGAAATTTCACACTGTGTTCTTCAAATATAATGCAGATTCAGACACAATTAAAATGTAAAATTATGTCCGATTCTCATAAATATGCTACTACATTGAGAAAAATAACATCATTTATTCTCATTACAGCTACTTATTATATTTAGTAGAAAGCAGAAAGTCACCCTGCTCATGCTAAATAATCTCAACTCCAACAGAGTTTTGTCAGTCACTTCTAATACGACCTTAGCCAAGGAGCCAGCTTTTTAATCACCTTGAAAGAGAAAGTGATCAGAATGTCATTTCTCCTATTTATCCCACAGTGACATTTTACCCCCCAGAACACATGATATTGACCTTTCTTTGATGAATCACTTTTTTTAAACCTAGAAAATATGATCGTTTAGTTCTTAATTATACATTTGAATACAAAGTCCCGAAAAACAAATTCCCCCATAATTTTTTTTGCGTCAGATTGTATAAGATAAACATGTGCCCTGTTTGTTGAGACAAATTCTTCCTCTGTTGCTAAACCTGGAGTGCAGTGGAGTGATCATAGCTCACTACAGCCTTGAACTCCTAGGCACAAACTACCCTCATACCTCAGCCTCCTGGGTAGCTGGCACTAACGGTGCATAGCCACCAGTTCTGGGTAATCTTTTTACATTCTATAGAGATGGGGGTCTCACTATATTGCCCAAGCAGGTCCCAAACTCCTGGGCTTAAATGATCCTCCTGTCTCAGACTTCCCAAGTGCTGGGATTATAGGTGTGAGCCACTGCACCCAGCCTCATGTGTCCAGTTTATTGAGCAGGATGGTTTTAGTAAGACACAAAAAGCTCATTATTTTTTACTACTGCTTTTCAAATAAGTACACGAGATCTTTCTTAACCACTGAAGTTCTATCAAGTCAATGTAATGGCTTCTCCTGTCACTTTTGGGATTTGGGGCAGTAACCTTCTCAGATTTTAAAAAGAACAGTGGGATTTCAATCAACACACTCGCCTCACATCTTAATGGCCTCCCCTTACACAGCTCAGAGCTGGGAAACCTGCAGCAGTACACGTGCTGGTTCTTTTCTCTACATGTTCAGCCTCACTGTCTGCTGCTTCTGGCTTCCTACTCTGGGGATTGCTATGTAACAAATCACTCCAAACTTAGATGTTTATCATAACAATAGTCTATTTTGCTTATGAATTTCCTCTACATGGAACCATCCAGGGCAACCCCGAGTGAGATGATTCTGAAGGTTGGGATTTGATATCTCAGATGTCTGGCACAGGCTGCCACATTCCTCCAGAGTTGGGAAAGGCGGCAACAAGAACTATTTTGACTATAACCGTGTCTTGATGACCTCACTGTGACTGGGGCCCAGATATTAATTCCTTGGCTTCTGGGCTCCCTAATGGAGAGGGACTCTGAGCCAAATGATGTCCTCTTCGGCTGCTTCCCTGTGGCATCACCTCAGCCCTATATCCAATGGTACAGCACTATCAGCCTCTTTCCGCTGGGATTACCAGGTCTCCCTGGGCCAGCACACCTCTTGGGCAGTTTCCTTGTGAATGCCATTCCAAATCTAGTCTACTCTGGCCCAGAGGAGAGCTCAATACTCATGTTCTGCCAAATTGTGGCAACAGACTATTCTCTCAGAGTAACTTCTTATACTGTCAGCAGGAGCAGACGGGGCCAGCCTTTCATCGTGACATCTTTTAAATGTGAGGGTCAGACACTGATCCTCATACCCCACCCTTATCCACAAAACTCCAGAAGATCCGTTTGTCATTTTCCAGAAGGACTCAGCACGCCTTGCTCTGGACCCATGCTGGCACTAGACTCCTATGCTTCCACAGCTCAGCAACATCCAGTCCAAAAAGAAGCTAGTCAGGGAGATGTTAGTATCCCCTTTCCCCCACAGAAACACCCTGTAGGTGGTTCTCTTGAAGATCTCTCTCTCCCCCTCTGAGGCAGGGGAAGCAGAAACAGCCCTGTCACAATGCTTTTCAGAGAAATATTCCCTCTGCCTCTCAACTGCCCCTTGGCATTCGATACGTCCTGGAGGTGGGTGATGGTTTGTGGCCACCTCCCATATGCTGCCCCTCTTTTCAGAATGTGGCGAAACTTGTCACCATCATTCTTTTTGGGACTCTAGTGCTCAGAAGCCCTAAAACTATAGAAATGGTGCATTTAACAACCTGCTCCACGGGCATCAAAAATTATAATGATGATGTAACCACCATAAGCATGAAGGACTCATGAGATGATAATCATGAAACTTTGTTTTCTCTTACGGTCCCTTTAAAAATGTCCTGTGGGGTCCCAGTCTCACCCTAGCCCTGTGATAAAAATTCAAGCAATCTCATGACATTTCTGTTTTTCTTCAGAAATAAAAGATCCTCAAGTCTGTAATTAATCAAACTATCGCAGGAAAGCAGTCACAACTGCTCACAGTTGCCCGACTCTCCCAGCTCCAATATACTGCTTTAGAAGTGGTGGGGTGGGGAGGGGCTTGGGGATTGTCTGCTTCTGTTTTCCTTTGTACTTCTGCCTCATTTTTCTTTCTAATTCAGTTTCTGATCCCTCCAGATCAAAATGGGCAGAAACATGGCAGTAAATTTCTTCCTCAAAAAAAAAAAAAAAAAAAAAATACCATCTGGAGCTAGCATTGTGCTTTGTTAGCCTGGCCACTGTTGAAATCCGACTTTCTCTGACTGGTAGAGTTGCCAGATAAAATTCTAAATAACCAGGTAAATTTTAACTTCGGAAGATCAAAAAACATTTTCATATGACTAAATTATGTGTTATTAATCTGAAACTCAAATTTAACTGGATATCC